CATACATCTGGATCTGCCTTTGCCAAATATAGGTCAAGTTTACTCCAGTTGCCATTTGTGTCTATTGTAGTAAACGTTAATTCAGTAAAATAACTACAAAAACATAAGAAATTAGTCTGAAGATGAAGCTCCATCCACACTTAACCATCAAATTTTATGTGACGAAAACTGCTATGCCCATATTTGGGTATAATATGACATCATCATACCCATATATGGGCACGTCACACAAAACTGTCACATATAATTTGATTGTGTAGAAAGAGCTTAATGCTGTCTATCTGTTTGACAACTGCTTGTTTATTTTAGTTAAATAAGTACATTGTATTGAAAAAAGATAAGTAGTTTGAGGGCAGTAGATAGTTTTTCATGAAATTCAAAAAGTAATTGCATGATTACTGTACCATAAATATACAATATTCCATAATAACAGCATTTATATTCATCAGTTAAGTGTTCTCAAAGGAAACATTTCTAAGGGAAGAATTTTAATTTCACACAAGTAACAAATATTTGTAGGCTTTCATCAAATTATGCATTAAATTACTTCTGATTTGGAAAGTGTGAAAATATGATATGTCGTTAACAGATGCTGAATATTTGGATCGATATTTTATTAAGGAAGTCTAGACAAAATTTACTAGGAAATAACCAAAGGTAGATAAAAAGCAAATCAATGTTTTCTAAAAATATATAAAGGATATTAGCCTTATTTTTTAACATTAATTTTAGCTCTTACTTATTAATATTGTTATTAATGTCCAGTTTGTGATATAATTTACCAATTTAGACTATTATTATGTTTATCAAAATAGATTTGACTGTATAATTTATGATTATAATATAGGGTTGATTGTGTTTTTAATGATGATTATTATAATTTTTGGTTGTTACTGTTCAAGTCAATTCAATTTAATCCACGTTTATTCCAAAGATCATTAATTATAAAAATAAACAAAATATATTTACAACATTTGGAAGAAGAACACTAGCTGTGTATACAAAAATCAAATAAAATTTGTTTTGATACAATTTGAATTGGTGCTTCTTATATATGGTTTTTCATGCATGTGGACATTAGCGTATAATTATTACCGTACTTTATTTTATTGGTTCAGGAAGCATTGGAGATGGCGAAAGAGAATAGTAAAGATTTAAATCGTCACAATGTATTGGATGTTGGAAAAGCATACATTCATCATCTCATAGAGTTTGGTAAATTTGAGGAGGCAGCAAGGTAAAATATTGATAGAAAAGTTGTTAACTATACTGTAGTATGACAATGTCTTTCCCCATTTGCCACAACATATAGTATTGTAAGTAAAATATTGCCCATTAATTTGTACGAAATAAAGGACAACAAAACATAAATTATTTTAGGTTCTAGTTCTGGTGGGTAAAGCCAACCTTCTAAGAACTCCAAAATTGTATGAGTATAGGTCTTTTTGTACTTTTCCAGTTGCTGCTGAATTCTGTTTTGCACAATTTTTGCACTGACAGCACCATATGGGCAAAATCACAAGTATAAAATGAGCTTAACAATTTTTATGTTCTTGTTCTGCAGCATGTGTCAGACAGTACTTGGTAAGAACAAGGAATTGTGGGAAGAGTGGGTTTACGTGTTTGCAAAGCTTCAGCAACTCAAGGTGATCAGTCCGTACGTACCTCTGCAGGATCCACGATTGAGCAAAGCTGTTTATGAGATGATACTCAATGATTTCCTTATTACGGACCTCAAGGTTGGTCTTTTTTTATAATTATATCTAACAAAATATAACTCTATGCAATTGATTGTTAATAAGGTAAAAAATAGTAAATAGTAAATAAATAATAAATAAATAATTAAATAAATAATAATAATAATAATAATAATAATAATAATAATAATAATAATAATAATAATAATAACGATAATAATAATATGCGCTAAGTCGGACTTAAGGGGAGTATCTTTTGTGTTATTTTCCCCTTAACATCGTTTTATTAATTGTTCTCTAATTTCTCCATTGTCTTAGTTCCCCTTAAGGTAGGTTTTAGTAATATAATAATAATAATAATAATAATAATAATAATAATAATAATAATAATAATAAATTTTATTTTGTGATTTTTTTGTCAATCTGTAGGGCTTCCATAGATTGATCCGCAGTTGGCCACAGGATCTCTATGACCTGATGACGATCGTCAGTGCCGTGAAGGACCTATTGCGGAAGTTTCCAGATGACCCAATCCTCAATCAGACTCTCGGTGATCTGTATTCGTATGATAAGCGATATGATAAAGCTCTTGCGATTTACTTAAAGTGAGTTTATTTTAAAAGATACTTAGACGGTTGCTTAGACCCTGGTCCTATTAACACTTTGACCGCCAGGGGTTTTAAAAAAAATAGTATTAGCCACTGCCAGACATTTTAGCGAATTTTAACACTTTTCTGAAGCTTGTTGAGAGTGCGTATGTGATCAGATTGACATGTAATGAATATTACAAGAAGAACAAACATCTGAGCTTTACAGTGGTACCAAACAATTTATTCTAATCACAATCTGTGACCCGTACAGTAAAATGAAAATGACTCACTTTTAGAGATTTATGCAATTTCGCACAACGAAGCTGAGACCATCGCAATTTTGTGAAAGTAGATAAATACCGCTACGCTCAATGTAAACAAACAAAAATAGTGAAATACTGACAGTCCAAACTGAATATACTGTAGTGTTCAAACTATTAGTACATGTCGGTAATTACCCCATCTATCAAATTCCGTAAAAAAACCTGAAACACAAAGATCTCTGTGTTTGGCGGTCAAGCATTGTGTTACTAAACACGGAGATCTCCGTGTTTTTGGCGGGGAGAGTGTTAATAAATTATTTATTAAATATTAATAGGTCCATATGTTTATACTAAGGAATAATTTCTATCCAGATTCAAATTTCTACGTTTATTTTTGCTTTAGGTTGGATTAACAATAAAATAACTAACAAATATTTGAGTAACTATGAATTTCTGAAATTAAAGATGGTTGGTAGGTAATACTGCAATTCTACTATGTTTTAAAAACTGTTTTGATAAATCAGTAAGAAATGTATTGATAAACTATGAGATATCAATTGATATTAATTTGATCGTGATTTTTTTTCTTTCTGAAGACTTGGCCATAAAGATGTTTTTGCACTGATTCAGAAACATAACCTGTTGCATTCCATCCAGGACAAACTGGTGATGTTGATGGAGTTGGATGGTGATCGAACTCTGCAGATGTTAGTGGACAACGTCAGTACAGTAACAGTAAGTAACTTCAGCTGTCTCAGGATCTTTTATAATACCCTATTAAGACTACCCTCTGTTGCGAGGTAATTGTTGGTAACCCAAAACTGATTGCAGCCGATCGCAATCAATGATTGCATTCAGACTAACACAACAGAAATTTACATTCTAGGGCCTAGGCCTCTGGTGGTTAGGCCTATGTTGACTTCTAGAATTCATTGTGATTCAGTGCAATCAGATTCTGTGGTAATCAGGAGTAATAAAGATTGTAGCATCCAATCGCAATGGGTAACAATTGTGATATCGATCACTTATCGACTACTATTGTTGAGCTTTCACTGACAATTTTACTTTGGGATTGGGTGTCACAATGTGGTGCTAGTCTGAATAGGGTATAAGGATTGTTTTGCAAATGTCTCTTATGTGGGTTGTAGGAATCAGTTAAGAACAAAACACTGATTTTCAATTCATTGCTAACAACCATATCAATGCAAGTTCTCATTGGATTACTTTTGGTCAAATTAAACCTAGTCACAAAAAAAATCTGTATAAACTTGTTTAAATTACCAAAGCTGCACAGCATGTTTAACTGAGTGTACTTAGCCCAGGCTGTTTTTCCAGAGCAGGAAAGTCTAAAGCGAACAGCGACTCCCTAAATCTTCATGAGAACATGATATTTTTATGGGCATTGATGTACGTTTCGCAGAACCTGTCTATGATTTGAACTGAATCATAGATATGCAATGTCTTACTATCTTAAATCGAACAGCGTATTTAATAAATCTAAGTTTGGACAGTAGTATGGTTTGGCCAAGGTAGAGATACCATTTGTTTTGGTCAAAATTGTTACAGTGTGAGACATTCTCAACAAACAACAGTTATTTTCAGAACTATCTGTGTGGTGTATCGCAAACAGTAAGTATTACTTTGCCATACAAACCTTTAAACAACTTAATAATTCAGACAATGAATATTATTGTTCAGGTTTCTTTAAATTAACAGAGTTCATATACAAGTATAATTTTATATGTTTTATCTGCAGATGAAAGTAGTTGTGCAACAGTTTAAAGATCACCCTAGGTTCCAATATCAGGTAATAAACAACAATGAACATCATTTTCCAATTTATACTCAACTTATAATGGAGAAAGGCGTTATTTTTCCTAAACCATGTTCTAAGTATGTTTGATTGATTGAATTTATCTGTAATCAGTCATAAAATACATACATAAAAACAATTTAAGAAAAAAAAAATCATTGGGCTCCTTACAAACACAGAAATATAATTGCAAATTATTTAAGTCAAGAAAAATCAGTAAAAATAAGTTATCTAATTTTTTGTTGTTTTGAAGAGTTGACATTTAAAAAAAAAAAAATTTTTGCAAATTTGTGTGTTGCACATAGATTATTTTGTTTTTATATCTGTAATTTTCCTTTTATAAATCATCTTTCTGTTTATTTGCAGTACTTGGATGCTTTGTTTCTGAAAAGTCCACATGTTGGGCAAGATTTCCATGCGCTTCAGGTCAGCTTGTACGCCGAGTTCAACCGGCCCAAGTTACTACCATTCCTTAGTAGTAGCAACTACTATCCTCTGCAGAAAGCCTTAGAGGAATGCGAACAGAGAGAGTTCATTCCTGAAACTGTCTTCCTATTGGGTAAGCTGCTGGTGATGTCATTTTACTGTTTTTGTTGATTGGATGAATTCAGTCACATGCCTTCATTTATATATCACTGAGACCAGCAAAAGAAATGTCTATGAAGAACATGTGAAAGGTCTTCTTGTAGACCGATTAGAGGAATTTCTTTTAAAAAAGGATTAAAAGTAAAATTGTAATTGTAAGATTCTTTAAAAACCCTCGTTAATATAATTGAAGGCTTCAAATTGTAATTTCTTGCAGGTCGTATGGGTAACACAAAGAAAGCATTGAATCTAATAATGGTGGGGCTGAAGGATGTAGGTCGTGCAATTGAGTTTGCCAAGGATCAGGACGATGCTGAGCTGTGGAACGATCTTATAACACATTCCATGGATAAACCAAGTCAGTCTGAAACCTTAAGCAATTAGTATAGCAATACTATTTGAACATTAGTACATGAAAGCCCATTAGTGCATTAAAGGTCAAAGGCAGTTGGCTTTTAATAACATTAATATTGGTGCTATTCAAACACAAATAATGTATATAAATAAAACTTTAAAAAAATAAGATTGGAAATGTGAACAAATGTGGAAAATTTATCTTATTCATTAATGAAATGTTAGTAAAGTTAATCTGTATCTGTATATGACCCAAAGTTTCAGTGGGTGTGGCCACAATACAAAAACTGTCTCTTATACACATCTAGATGTGTATAAGAGACAGATCTGTGTGGTGTATCGCAAACAGTAAGTATTACTTTGCCATACAAACCGTGATGTGATATATGTATTTTTTGTATTTTTGTGGCAGGTTTTTTGACAGGGTTGCTGAATAACATAGGAACTCATGTGGATCCTATTATACTCATCAAGGTAAAACTAACAATAAATTACTGTAATAAAGTGTAGTAATAGATGTATGGAATGATATAGATTCCCAATAAGTATAGTAATGATAATAATCATAATATTATCATAAGAGTCATTCACAACAAAAACAAAAGTTTTTTCAGAATTATTATGTGGTTTTGATTCCTGATGATGACATAATTAATGTATAATATTGAATTCCGACACGATGGTGTGCATTATGTGGTGTACCGCAAGCATTTAATATACACTATTATTAATTTGCCATGCAATCCCTTAAACAAGATTATGATAATAATCATTATATAATAATAGAAATAATAATTAACAATAATAATAGTGATCATAATAATAATAATATTGTATTTGCTGGTAGCACATAATGCAGTGGTTTATTGGGGTCCTTTAATCACAGGGACAAGAGCTTCGACAAGACGAAATTCACATGAATGGGATCAAAATAGTATAATCAAAACATACATGAATATTTGTATAAAATATTTCTTGATTTTTAAATGGATTATGTACCTTGACAGAGGATTAAAGAAGGGCTAGAAATTCCCGGCCTACGTGATTCGCTTGTGAAGATTCTACAGGATTTCAACCTCCAGATGTCTTTACGAGAGGGATGCAAGAAGATCCTCGTCTCGGATTGTTTTGCTTTGATGGATAGGCTTAATAAAGTACAAAGACGAGCCACAAGGGTTGATGGTAAGTTGCTGCAGGCCAAAATTTTATTATTTGAGTACTCAAAACAAATTTTATGTTAAATTTCAATATCCAATAGTATGTGTACGTTATTACTAAGTAAATTAGTTGAATATTTTTTACAGGATTTAATACCGAGTAGCCTAGAATTTCACAGAATCTTAACCCATGACCCTGGAATTACACAGTATCTAGCCCTATAACCTTGCATTTTACAAATGTGAACAAGAACTGTGTTATGAAAGGTACACTATCCATAATGATCAAACCCCAAATTCTCATTATTATTTAATAATACCTTTCCTCTTCCTTTATAATGAAATGTAAAGGACAATAGATACTACCGGATATTTTTGTGTATATGATGGGGCTTAAATAGCAAATTATGATCCAAAAACAAGGGGTCGTCTTGTACAGGCAACACATACAAATTCTTTATTTTTAAATCATGTTTGCCTTATGGTCAATGGTTGTGGATTTGTATAGCACATATAACATTCGTCTCTATGTGCTTTCTTAGACAACAGAAAAGAACAAAACCAGAATAATAAAAGTATTACTTGGAAGATTTGCCCTGCGTTTGGCTCCGTTTTTAGAAAGGTAGATACAGTATCAAGACCTTAAAGGGAAAAAAAAAGTAGGAATTCGGACGGTGAAACGTGAGAGGGGGGGGGGGTTGTCTTATACACCCAATATACAATAATCATCCAAAAAGGGCCTCATACACAAGAATATACAATATAATGTTATTTTTCCATTATTTGATAGGCAATTCCTATTGCAGCTAAATTAGAATAAGCTTAGTAGTATTAAACATAAGAAAAACCCTGAACCTACCCAGGACTAGCTTGAACTATAATGCATGATATAGCTGTTTCCTTTTAGCATAATGCAATCTACGTTGTAATTTGATATATTATCTAGATTTTTTATTATGAAACCTGTTCTATTTTTAGATTTTAAGCTGTGTGATTGTTGCCATGACTTGCTCGTTCAATCTAGTAAGTAATTTGAAGAATTATGCAAATTATCTAATGATTGCTTTTTATTTCTGTTTGAATCTATTGTGCAATTCATTTATTTGTGAAGTGAAAAGATAATCCTTAGTCCTAAGTATGTACTTACAAATAGTAGTTACAGACCACCTCAGCCTCAGCATGGCTATATGATGCTCATTAACTATAATGGTTGTTGTGGGATCATAATAATGAGAAGAGTGGTGAAGGTATTATGATCATAAAGTAAAAAATAATTATTCCTTTTATTGCTAGATTTCCAGGAAACAACAACGCCTATAATTGTATTCTATTGCCATCATGTGTTTCATGAAGATTGTCTTCCATCTTACAACTTGGTAAGTAATGCAAAATGTATTGTTGTGGAGGTTGTGTGGGGGAAATCGAATTCAAAGCAGTTTGTTAAACACTTTTCAATGTTTTCTTTTATGTCCTTGGTTAAGACACTTTAGGCCTAAAAAAAAAGTGTTATGTTGGCGTAACCCGATCGACCCTAAAAAATCTGCCGACCCTAGACATTTAAAAAAAAAAATTCATGATACAAGTTCATGTGAACAAAGTGGGTGTGGTCATCACGCAAAATGTTTCAAAAGTGGTCCAAAGACGAAAAATATATCAATTAGGGGCTTAGGCTTTTTTAATTTATTTTATAGATTTAAAAGTCTTTGCTGATAGTTGAAAAAATATATAATCCCTACCTACATACCCTATTTTTTGGGGTCTGTTACACCAACATAACATTTTTTTTAAGCCTTATTCAGGTTTAACCACATAAATAGTCTAAAGCCCTGTCAAGACTATCAAATTATGTTTGACAAAAACATGTGACATGCCCAAATATGGTCATGATGACATTACATCATAACCAAATATAGGCACATCATGACTATATATGGGCATACAACAGTTTTCATCAAATAAATGTTGATAATCTGGACAGACCTTAACTTTAAAATCTGTTTTTCATATTCTTTTTTGTTTCTGTTTTGTAGGAGAGCTGTATGATATGCCATTCACAGCGTCGAAGGCCGGGGAGTGGATTTGGATTGGGAGCAAAATAACATTATATATTTGTGGTGGGAGTGACTGAGGCAGTAGTTGTGCTTTAGGCTATTAACCATTCAGATTAGGTTCAAATACCATGCTAATCATCCACTTGGGCAAAGCACTTTACCCCTCTCCATCCAGGAGTGGAAATGGGTACCTGGTGGAATGTGAATGATACACATTGAGTGTATTTCAGTGAAAGCTGATTATTCATGCATGACTAGGTGTATCCCCTATGGAACACATGAGATTACACATGTTAGTGTACAAATGTTAGTGTTTCCAATCACCAGTGTAGTAATGCAAAGTGTTTTGGAGATGTGAAAAGCTCTATACCTAAACCTGGTTTCCTAAAAAAAAAAATTGCCACATGCTATCGCTGTTTCCTTTGGCAACGCTGATTGGTCAATTGAATGAGGGAGCATTCCATATTTCGTCTGGGGCAGCTACGCCGTGCAAGGATTGCAGTGAAAACACTGTAGTGATTCTTTGGAAACCAGGCTGGATGTAGACGTAAAGTCCTCAAGGTCAATATTCAAACTTCCTAATCCTGGTATTCTCTTGTGGTCAAACTTGATCCTCTCAGAATTTATCCCAACCAGTGCTGAAAGTTATGATGATGTACAGTATAAATTGATGATATGAATCCAGGTGTAGAGATTTGGCATGCCAGCAAAGTGCTTCAAGGATATAAGTATACATTATATTCAATGATTTATATAAAATTACAGTTAAACTTGCCTAAGTCGAATCCAAAATGCCATTAAAAAATTGTTTGACTTATAGATTGTTAATTAACACCAACAATTTGGCATGTAAAATAAGTTCAAATTAAAAATTAGGCAAGTTTAACTGTATAAAGCTTTACTGAAATCCATTGGTTGAATATAAATAACATTCCTGTTAAATGTAAGGAGCAAAATTTGAATGTTTTTTGTATGAGTATATGTTTATGATTACCTCGATTATAAGGCCAAGTAAAAAAAGGCTTTCTTTTGGCTCACACATTTTCTGATCATATTATTGCAAAGTCTAATCTTGATTGGCCAAAGTACATGAATATGAAATTACCACTGTTAGAATAATTAGGCTATTCCAACAACTATAAAGCATTTTAATGCTAAAAATATGGAAGCAAACAAGAAAGAGAAATTCATTTTTTCTTTTACTTGTCCCCAAGTGTTGCATTTTTATTTTATCTTTCCCCCAAGTAAGTGGATTTTATCAGCACAGATTTATACTCTCTCTATGTATATATATATATATCAATAAATATATATGACAAAATTTCATGAGCTGTTGTGTTTTATTCTTTTTCTTTTAAGTATAAAACATTTTCTTAATTTAAGAAATGTTTTAGTAAAAAACATAAAAATATATAATGCACATTAGTAATCAGAAATGAACCAGTCTTATAGAGCATGATGAAAGTATAAATACAAATATATAATTATTTAAAAATCTGTAACTAAAATTATATAAAGACACCTGTATATACATAGTATTGTCTGAAAGTTTTGGTTTACCCTCTGGCTGTTTCTTTTGCATTTACATTTTGTTTATCAGTTTTTTAACTCAACCCAGATCTAGCCTTTTACTTGTTTATGTCTTTTTGGTTGCCTTTGGATTTATACTGTATATAAGGGTTCTCAACTATATTATAACGAGGGCCAATTTTGTGGATTTTGAAGGTCCAGTGATAATGATCAAGGAACCTAGGATGTATGGAGGGGTATGTCCACTCCCACATCAAAACAATATTTTTAGTAATGTAATGCAAAATGATGCAATAACAATTAGATTTTTAGGCTTGTTGTAACGGACAGGATAACATGCACTTGCCGACCACCAGTTAAGAACCCTGCTTTATACTGTATACACACACCATATGTTGAAATCTTCATTAAAAGAACATTATAATGCACAATAATCAGAACCTAATCAGTCTTATAAGGCATGATGAGTATAGAATACATGTAACTATGTAAATAATATATATATATATATAAAGACATCCCTATATATACAGTCTGAACATGACATTTCCAGAAATCTAGAGGTACATTGTCATATATTTTTGTATCTCAGTCCCAAACATGACAGGGCTGAGGTGGTCTATACCCTCTAAGTCCCTCTCTATCATTAATTCTGGGACCTGCCAAGTTGTACTTTCCGATTTTTTATGTTTGATGTATGTTATTGTATGTGTTGCTGGGCCCTGAGGGATAACAATGCTTTTTGCACTGACCAGGTCACCTAGGGTAAAGAAGAAATAAATAAAATAAAAAAAATATAACCAAGACCCAGCCAGTTGCTGTACAGATATATCTTTTTTCATATTTAAATCTACATAACTCACTAATAATATATTATTACACTATGTATATAAATAGATTATAATTTTACAAAATCTTTGTTCACCTCTGATAAATATGCACCATAATCAATAAACTAACAATACTTGCTTGACCTGAGTTTCATGAAATTTCAGGCCACTAAATACTATTAAGAGATATACAGTACTGCTTCAAATAAACTCTACAATGTTTAATAGATTCCTGAACTAAATATCATTGGTAATGTAAATAAATGTAGATGTCCCTTTGAAAACTATAAGGAATGCAATGAGAATAATGTTTCTGAATTTTTATAATGAAATATATTTGAATTCTTAAATTTTTGCATGAAAGATAACTAAAAATATTTTTTTGATATTAAAATAAGTTAAAAATAGGCAGATGTCTAAGATTGCTAAAATTCATTGCACAAGGAAACTATAATTAAGCTAATTCGACTAGTTCATTTTGTTGACTACGATTTTTCTTTGAGTATAATTTTCATTCGAATGGTTCGTAAAACAGACTTTGTTGACAACAAAAATTAACATAAACCAATGTGTGTTAATCAGCGTCAAGTTATCCACGTGACCATGGACAAACATGGCTGATTAGTGAGTTTAGCAACAACATTTGCGTTATATAATTTATATTAAATTTCAAAAAATAAAATTATAATATTTACCTACATGAATTAAAATAATAATTGTAGGCAAACAGAATTCAAAAACTAGATGAAAACATTTTACGAAAAACCCATACTGCCGAAGCAACCCGGATTACGCAGCATGTATTGCGGTAACTATGCAGCCATTTTGTTTTGTCAATTATTTACAAGTTTTGTATTCGACTGGTTGTCTTCATTAAGTAGGATTTTACCACTGCGCAGGTGGGCGTGGTTTAACGAAGAACGACCGGTGAATAATATTGTATTCAGTATTACTACCCTTCTATGGGATGAAGCTGACTATTATCCCAATTTTCTTAAGTCAGGCTCCGGAGGGAAAACAATTTTTGATATGTTGTAGAACTGATTTTTTTAAGACAGAAAAAAGTTGTTTGATGAAAAACTGGGGAACGGTGAATAAGATACAGATAGATACAGATTTTTGAATATTTAAAAACCGGGGGGGAAAAAGGGGTGTAACTGCCCATTTTTACACCTTATTCCCCCAGTTTTTAAATATTCAAAAACCTGTATCCCATTCACCGTTCCCCAGTTTTTCGTCAAACAACTTTTTTCTGTCTTAGAAAAATCAGTTCTACAACATATCATGAAATTTTTTTCCTCCGGAGCCTGACTTTAATACCATTTAATAAGCAACCTTCCCTTGTATAATTTATTGTAAAGATAATCACAATTTGTATGCTATGAATACCTCACACACGTCTGTTTTCATAATGGATCTAAATGAACTGGCCATGTAAGTGTGATATATCTTATGAAAGAAAACAACACCGTTTTAATTTCTTTTACCACCAAACCTTATACTTTGTTTCAGTAGGAAAAATCTGTTATACTGTTATAAACTAGAATACATCAAATAACAAATCTTCAAACTCTCATTTAGAATAGATTGAGAATGCAATTTTGCAAGTGATAGCACTCCTCATTTGCATAAACAATAGTACAGGTGTTCTTTTTATAAATAATATATATCACTCCTCATTACTATCTAATTTATTTCATATACAAGGTTACTGTTATTCTGAATTTCAGTAAGTTTAATATATACAATATGCCAATCAACTTCATTATATAAGGCATCTTAAATTACATTGTAGGTGTCGGGAATATTGATTACACAAACAGTCATCAATAACCATATAAAAATAGTCAAGGTTGAAAGCACTCAGCAGGCATTGTCTGGGCAACTAAGAAGTCATATCAGCCATCAATTTTCTTATTTGCTGTGGTGAAGGTTTACCTGTAACAAAATGAAGGAAAAAGTTTTTTTTTTATATTAAAAATTAAACAAATACATGCTATGTCTCATATGGAAAAGCATAGAGGTTGCCATACAGTGGTTTCATTGTCATGAATCACAATTTATCTTCTTCCTTCCTTCCTTAACAGTCACTTGCCACATGACCTTCAAAGGCCTTGCTTGGTCTCTTAACCCTCTACTGCTCCTTACTCATCTAGAGCTACTCACCTCCAAATTTTACCCTCTACAACCACTTACTTGCACACCTGACCTTCTAGAGCCTTGCTTACTCTCTCACACTTCACCCTCCACAGCCACTCACTTGTACACATAACCCTCTACAGCCATTCACCAGCTCTCTATCTACAATACTCACCATCTCCCTCTTTAAGACTTTATCATTTTCCAATTAGACATCAACAGCCACCCTTTCATCTACATCAAATCATTCTCCTCTTAACCCAACAGCATCTCCCACTTTAACTCCTCATCATTCATTTGTTTTCTACTGACCTGGAATCATTGCACATTTCCACATAGCTAGAGGAGTTTTCAACCCAGCAATGCTGTTACTACTGCATTCTTTACCTCCTATTAAATACATGCATAACACAATTTCGCTACCCTGGAAAAAAATGAAAATAATTTATAAGCATATATGTTTAATGTAAAATAATATGTAGCAGCTATCTACATCCTTTAAACGAAACACTCGGTTTGTGATTAATTTCTTGCCAACCACCATTTGTTGTGAGATTAGAAGTTCAGGACAGTAGAGAATTTGACGCTGGTAGGGGTGGAGGCAGGATTTGTCGACTCCCTGACGAGAATGTAAGTAGGCATGATCGGGTGTTGCTCAAAATATCTCGGAAATTATGAAAATTTAGGGGATTCAAAGGCTTATTTTATCAATTTCAGAGTAAACAAATATGTAAAAAATATATATAATTTTTGCTTAAAGCAAAACTATTTACAGAATTTTCATTATCATCAATTTGTCCGTTTTTGTTTAGCACACACTTGTCTTCTATTTGTTCTACATCTTGTTTTTCTTTACACTGAATTTCAGAGTAAACAAATATGTAAAAAATATATATAATTTTTGCTTCTTCCCGACGAATTGTGTTTTCTCTAAAATAAAGAAGAATGATGATACTATTAATACCAAACTACTCACTTGTTTTCCACATAAATATTGTCCCTGCTGATTTTTTGCCAGATACCACTCGCAATCTCCATTGCGTTTATCATTATCTTGCAATGTATTTGAACGTTCATACTGTCTGGCTTTTTTTGGTTCAACAATCTTTGGTATCAACATATTTCTTTGGTGGTTATTTACTCCATTCTGTTTATCAAAACTTCCAGTTCGGCTTGAATTTGCATATATTTCTCTAGTAATATTGGTGGAACGTTGATCGTTGGTACCCGGGTAATACTCAGTCGAGTCATATCCTGAATTACAGAAGCCATTTGTTTCGTCGGCTTGGTATATTTTAGAATGTTCTTGAAGAGATAGCAGCTTTGTTCGTTCGGTAAATGCCAGAAAATCAGCATCATCTTCAAGATCAACTACTTGAATTTCACTGTAAGTCTGTCTTTTGCTTTCTGCGTTAAGTAACGTCAATGAATCTGGTCGCAACGTTTTGTATGCTGCTTTTTTATTAGCGTCTGTTTTACTAACACACAGTTGGCAGTCGTCATATTGTTCTGATGTAATACTGTTTGAAACCTGATGACCGCACTTCTCACATATATTCTGTGTTATATTTACAGAATTTTCATTATCATCAATTTGTCCGTTTTTGTTTAGCACACACTTGTCTTCTATTTGTTCTACATCTTGTTTTTCTTTACACTGAAAATCTAATTTCTGTTTATGAAACAGAATAACCTCCGCACTACTACAATCACCATCAGCATTTTGGTTATCTATTGTTTGATTTTCAGCGGCTTCGGGGGAAAGTAGTTTGGACGGGTAAGGATGGACACGGTTCTGAAACAATCGAGTGGTTTCCCCGCCATAAGGGGATGAATTCCTGTCAATAGGTGGAGATGAGTATGGTCTTGGGGGTGACACATTATTTATGGATTTGTTTCCATGTAAGAAAGGAACAGATGAAGTTCTGTACTGTACAACTGGGGAACGATCTGAATGGATTTCTTTGAGTATTGGGAGAAGCGTATGATGAAGACTAGGAGAAGGAAGAATTTCTTGAAACGGACTTATTTTACTCCAATTATGAGTGACTGAAAGAAAGCAATGAATTTCATGACAAAATCTTCATTATGCAAATGATGTATTATAAACTGGTTTAGATAATAATATTTTAACAAAGACACCATCTAGCTACACTAGGTAGACTTCTGATTTGTAATAAAATTATTATGGAATATTTATTTTGAAGGGGATAAATTTATTGGATTACGATTTGTACACAACTGATGAAATGATATATTTCTGGCATATTTCACTACATACAATAACATTGCCAATTACTATGATTCACCATCTTTCTTATTACAATTTTTTCTTATCTTATACCTACCAAAACTGAAGAGCCACAGTTCGTTTCTTACAATGTCTGAACCATCTTCGCCACCAAAAATGAACATGCAATCGTTGTGGGCGCAAGCAGAATGACCATTGAGGCTAGAGGGACCCTGATGAAACCGGATCCTTAGCCACTTTCTGGCATCTAACATGAAACATCCATAAGAAACATTAAAACTTGTTTACATCATTCCAAAAGCAAAAAGAAATGAAGACATTTATACTTTAAAATTAACTAAATTATTAAAAATATTTATAATATTCATAATAATTATGATGACTTTTATAAGGTTCTTTATATTATTTAATTATTTGTTTACTTTAATATTATAATACAGTACTTGGGAAGATCATCTTGCAAAAGTAAGAATAAGAAAATATTCTCTCAACAGAATGCATTTATGTCCAATCATTTAAGTTTATATTCAAATGAAGTGACTGGAAAAAAAGACTACAGTGACGGATCCAGAATTATTTTGTTAGGATGGTGTGAGTAGCAAGATCAAAGGGAGCAGAACCTATGGTAAACAAGAAATATTTCCTATAAAAAAGCTGCAACTTATGTAGCTTATTCAATTTGTGTATACAGCTACTTCCACAATTATCCTATGTGTAAATTTTGTTATTGTATTTAAGTTAGCTGTTTAAATAAATTTATTTGTAACTGTATTTTCCTATGGATTAATAAATATAGCCCTGTGCTTATTTATTGTTGAGGATAGGTCTAATTTTTTACTGCAATATGCATAATACTGTATATGAATTAAAGATTATTTTTAAAATAAAATTTATGTTAAAATAATAAAATGATAAAAACGAATATGGAATCAAAGGGTGGGTCAAAAGATTCTTCCTGCAGCTGGGTTTGTCTGGGTTGTAATCCCATATGGTAGCTTAATTAGGCTGTCACCAAGACTCAAGGCTCGACTATGTTGATAACCTTTAGAGGCTTCATCATCAGCTATTGTTGGTCCACTGCTGGACAAATGTTTCAGGATATCGACGCCGAATCAATCATTTTGTTGTGTTGCACCATTTCACTCTTCCCCAATAAATATCGATCTCATCTCTTAGTCTTTTACGTTGTTTTCCCTTGTTCATTTTGCCATCCATGAGTTGGGGTCTGTTAATTTGTATTTGTTTGTACTCCTCCTGACTAAAAGTTCAACAAACAGAATGAAAACCACAGAGCCAAACCACATTTTTACAATTATTGTTAATTAATAATAATCTTCCCTAATAAATATTGATCTCATCTCTTAATCTTTAACGTTGTTTTCCCTTGTTCGTTTTGCCATCCATGGGCTCTGTTACTGTTTGTATTTGTTTTTACTCCTCCTAACTACAAATTCAACAACCAGGATGAAAACCACTGAGCCAAACTGCATTTTTACCATTATTGTTATAAATATTAATAATAATATTGATTTTAATATTATTTTATTTATTTGTATTCATTCCCCTCCCCCACTAGCTTGGCTAGGCCTTTCTACTACTGCCGCCAGTGTGTGGCTATTTTTTATGGGTCAATAAAACATGGGTACCGTACGATATCTCAATAATATTTAGCCTAACCCTTACCCTCTTCAGCGTAGGCACCGTATTTTTCGACATTAAATGTGGAATACCCTGGCTCTACTACTTCGCTGGCAGTAGGCCCTAGGTTGTATCGTTAGTTTCTGTGGTTATTTTTTTACGGGATTGTCAATTCATAGGTCTACGTACGTAGGTACTTTTTTTTGCAATAATTTAAATACAATTCCCCCTGACAACCACTGATGAACCGTCTGTAAAGAAAGCCAAAATAGATGTTTTCGACCCGCTCGAGTTCTCATTATTTTCCATCCATAACATATAGCTTTCCCGTTTCTATTTCATACCCTCTTCGCAGTCGCTGTCTGGTTCCTAAGAAGATTTTTTGGTAATCATACCCTCTTCGCAGCCGCTATTTGGTTCCTGAGACATCATTCACAGCCGCTATTTGATTCCTGAGACGTCTTTTTGGTAACTGCGCATGCTCAACATGGCTTGATAACGTCACTTAGTCAATGCACATGCTCACTGGCTGTCTAGCATTTCCAAGTGCATGCTCACTGTGTTTTTATAGATAATTTACAGACGTTATTTGGCAACTGCGTATGAACATTGCTTAGTTCGGAATTCCCATTTCTTTGATAGTAAAAGCTACCGCTACCTACAGTTTCTTAATGATTATTTCCTCTTGATCGTTACAGCCTAAAGGTGCGGCGCGAAAAATGAAGGATTTTGGGTGTTAGCCATAATTGGGGTTCAAGAAGCAGGGGGATACACCTTGCCACCCCACGAAACCAACTGCAGTTGCTTGCCCAAGGATACAGTTGAGTTAAGGATACAGTTGAGTTAAACAAAGCATTACACAAATTATAGAGTATATTAAACTGAATGCAGGCACAAACTTAAATGATCATTTAGAATGAGTTCTTTGTGAAAGTAGTAATTCCCAAGTCACTCAATACAGTACTGTAATACCATGGAAATACCAAGAATAAACAAAGACTGTACACACCTGTATCCCATTTCCACAAGTCTGCTTTGGGCACCAAATTGCTTAATCCACCATAAATCCATATGGAATTGTTATGCAAAATGGCTGAATGGTTGTGACGTGCCGGTGGTTCATTCAGTTGGCTCAGGCAGTCAATATGCCAGGATTCACTTTCTACGGAAAGAAAAATTGTTTTCAACGGTTAGATTACCATACCCTTCTTTCCTTGAATCACTTTCCTTTACGTCCATCCTTCTTTATCAAGCTTTCCACCCTAGGCCCTACTTTCCCTTTAACAGTCCCTTCATTTCTCTGTATAGTTTACCCTTTCCCGAAGAATTTCTTTTTCTAGACGTCTATACTCTATGTTCCACCCTAGATCCTCTCTTTCTTTCAGGTCACTCCATTACCAGTTCAACTTTCCTTTCAAACTCTATTTTCCCTTATTTGAATCCCTTCCCTCTAGTCTTTAATATGTTTTTCAAAATAATCCTCTTTTTCTCCAGACCATTTTTTCCATCTATAAACTTCATTCCAACCTACACCCTGCCTTTTTCACTAATCCCTCCATTTCTCAATTATTTCAATTTTCCCATCTAAACCTAAGAGAGTACCATAGATAAACTGGTGAAAGACAAGTAGTATAAAAAAGCACAAGACATTTTAGACATTGATCATGTGTGTAATGTAGCCCATGTAAATGAACGCAGTACACTCTTTGGAAAAAAGTAGGGGTTGTCTCTTGGTGTACTGTCCAATCACCACCAGAAGGACCCCACTGGAAATAAGTCTTCATCCTCCTTTCGTGGGCTATCCTTGGCATTTACCTGAATATATCGAATCCCTACCTTTCACACATCATTCCTTTTCCATCTGTTTTACCTTCTCCAAACTATTCCCTCCTTCCCACCAGAACCTCATTTGCCATCTAGACTCTCCATTTCCCTCTCACTTTCTTTGACCCTAGTGGGTACAGGTCAATATTTTCCATTCTATCATGCAGTACTCACTGAAGTCATATAGCCATAGTTCACTAGATGATCCCTTTAGGTCCAAGTACCCACCATAGATGTACATCACACCATTGGCAAGAGTGGCTGTATGACCTCGCCGTCCAAGAGGCTTCATGACTTCAGTGCCACCAACTTCTTTTTCCCAAGACATATGCAGTAAGTCATAGCTCCACAGTGGGGTTTCATCTGATGTTCCAAATCCAAGCTCACCACCAAAGATGTAAATCTTGTCCTATTGGAGGCAAAGAATGTATCATTTGATAGTATACCCATAAAAAAAACACTTAAAACACTGAACAACCGATACAGATCAAACCACTTGAGAAAAGGATCTAAATGAGTTATGAAGAATATCAACTCTGTTTTTACTCATTATAGACTTTTATTCAGTATAACAATCAAATTGATTACCAAATAAATTATAGTTAGTTCCTTGCAAATATGAATGTATTATTACAATGTTTATTTGAGAAAATATTTTATTGTTACAATTTTTAATTGAAATACAGTTGAACTTGCCTAAGTCGAATCCAAAATGGCATTGAAAATCAGTTCTACTTAGATAAAATTACAGATTACAGATCGTTAATTAATGGAAAACACAACACTTTGTCATGTAAAATAAGATCAACTCAAGTTTAACTGTATATATAACAATTTTAATACTAAATTTTATTATTAAAATAAAAAACTATACATACATTATAATGAACCATGGTGTGGTTCTGTAACAATGGTGGTGCCGTCCCAAAGCATTCTAAGCTTGTCCAGACGTTCGTTGTAATATTGTACCGCCACAAGTCTTTTCTACTACTATGCGCATCCCTGCCTCCAAAAACATAGATGAAATTGTTGGCCACACATGCAGCATGCTTGCTCCGCATACAAGGTGTTACAAGATTTTCAGGAAAAACTGGTGTCCATACAAATGTTGAACGATGTTTACTGGATGGGATACCGGGAGGTGTCAATGCTGACAAACCAGAAGTATGGGACTGTGGAGCAGGAAATGACATACTGATTGAATAGTTTTTCCATACTTAATTAGAAATGATTTACACACTATCAATCATCAAAAATTAATTCACCAAATTTATCCTGAATTAATTATTCCATTATTGCATAGACAGCCAATGAAAAGAGTATGAGAGTGTATGCACTTAAACCATGTCTATTCCTTTGTCAGCTAAATTACAAACATTTGTTCCCATGGTGAATCAATACACATTTATCAACAGTGTAGAAAACAGTAGTTACTAAGTAGTCATGGTGAATAATGCAAACAAAATGTAAAAGAGGATGATTTGTATAGAACGCCGTACTGCCTTCTGTATTGACGTTTCATCATGCTGTTATTCTCAATCGACATTCAGTTCTCAATCGACATGCTGTTGTTCTCAATCAGCATTACGTTGATCTCAATTGACATTACGTTATTCTCATTTTACATCATGCAATTCTCCTTTTACATCATGTTGTTCTCAATCAACATGCTGCAGTTCTCAATCGACATGCTGCAGTTCTCAATCGACATGCTGTATTCACAAACTACATTCTGTTGTTCTCAATCGACATTATGTTATTCTCTAATTTTACATGATGTAATTCTCATTTTACATTTAAATGTTATTCACAATCGACATGCTGTTGTTCTCAATCAACATGCTGCAGTTCTCAATCGACATGCTGCAGTTCTCAATAAACCTTTAATTTTCTAAATCTATGTCATAGACCCATTAAATTTTCTATGAATTTCGAATTTATTGATCTAAAGTTATTTCTGGTTTAATTCTTAATGTGCAACTTCAACCTGGGTAATAATAACCTCATCGAATTTGTATTGTGGGTGACGGCCCTTATTACTAGTAAGTCACAGCACATGGCAATTGAGACATCACATACATCATTTTTTGTGGCCAATATATGTTAAATTATTTTCTGGAAACTTTCTATTCTGTTTCATGAATATATTCATGTTCGATTCATGAATAGAAACTTCCTAGAATTTGTATTATATTTATATTTATTTTGGCCACGCCCATTTAACTTCAAACTACCGCTACAGGAAAGTGAA